ATCCTGACACAAAATGACCAGCTAACATTAATTGACTAATCATATCAGCAGCACATGTGAAAGTGTGAATGAGTACTAGTGAGGTTAATCACTATCATAGTAATTAGTTTGTAAGAGCAGAATGATTGCTATAAAAGGAAGGAAGAAGCGCTTCCAATCATTGTGTATTTGTTAGCAATGGTTACCTCCAAAGAAACACATGCAGCCATCATCACTTTGCATCAAAACGGCCTCACATGCGAGGAAATTGCTACAAAGAATATTGCACCTGAAAGAACCATTTACCGGATCATCAAGAACTTCAAGGAGAGAGGTTCGACTGCAGTGAAGAAGTCTTCAGGACGTCCCAGAGTGTCCAGCAAGCGCCAGGACTGTCTGTCCCAGAGTGGCCAGCAAGCGCCAGGACTGTCTCCTCCTGAGGAGTCAGCTGGAATCAAGTCACCAGCAGTGCAGAGCTTGCTCAGGAATGGCAGCAGGTTGGTGTGAGAGCATCTGTACACACAGTGAGGCCAAGACTTTTGGACAATGGCATGGTGTTAAGAAGGGCAGCAAAGAAGCCACTTCTCTCCAAGAAAAACGTTAAGGACGGACTGAAATTCTGCAGGAAGTACAAGGATTGGACAGCAGAAGACTGGTGCAAAGTTATTTTCTCTGATGAAGCTCCCTTCCGACTGTATGGGACATCTGGAAAATCGATTGTTCGGAGAAGAAAAGGTGAACGCTACCATGAGTCTTGTGTTGTGCCAACAGTGAAGCATCCTGAGACCATCCATGTGTGGGGCTGCTTTTCAAACAAGGGAGTGGGCTCTCTCATAATTCTGCCCAAAAACACTACATTGAATAAAGGATGGTATCAAAACTTCCTACAAGAGCGACTACTTCCAACGATCCATGAGCAATTTGGTGATGATCCGTGCATTTTCCAACATGATGGAGCACCATGTCACAAAGCAAGAGTGATAAAGAAGTGGCTCGAAGATCATTACATTGAAATTTTGGATCCATGGCCAGGCAACTCCCCGGATCTCAATCCCACAGAGAACCTGTGGTCAGTCCTCAAAAGGCGAGTGGACAAGCAGAAGCCCACAAATTGTGATCAACTCCAAGAGCTAATAAGGCAAGAATGGATCGCCATCAGTCAGGATTTGGCCCAGAAGCTAATATCCAGCATGCCAGAGCAAATTGCAGAGGTTAGGAAAAATAAGGATCAACACTGTATTGACTCAGATTTTTTTTGCCAATAAAAACCTTTAAAACTTATGATATGCTTATCATTGTTTTTCAGTATACCATAGAAACGTGGAAAAATAATCTACAAATACTGAAGCAGCGAACTTACAAAACAAAAACTTATGTCACTGCGAAAACTTTTGGCCATGACTGTACACTTAGCACTGCAAGAGATGGCTCGTTTGGGGCCAAATTTCTTTTTATTGATAAATTTGTATCTTTGAAATTTATACATTTATTTTATTTGGATGAATTTGTCTGTATTTTATCAGATTTACTAATCGTTATTTGTGCTGGTCAATTATGAACAAATAGGTAAAATTGAACTGGTAGCAAACACTTAAGAGAATTGTGTGGGCCGAGGAGCCGCTCCTCCCCTAACAGATATTAGGTGCGTTCGACTTGAAGCACGGCTACAGACGGCAGTCAGCGAGAGTAGCCGCTTGCAGTCGGGGGCGGAGTTGAAAACGGAGCCGTCAAGCCGGACATTTCTGCTCCCGTTAGTGACGCTCTCGCGGTGTTTGCATACTCTATCACAGATGAAGTGAATTAAATGCAATATTTGTCAAATATACAGACGTTTCAGAAACGTTTTCATGAGCAACAGA